GCAAAAATAATTTACTGTACACCCTGCTGTTGTTTATCCTGTAGTTGTTCCAGAGGGAGGTACTTCGAAAACAAAGCAGAGAAGTAGATTTCAAAGAACATCAAATTATTGAAAAATAACCAGTAGACAGTCAAGAGGACTACACTAAAGGAGGAAAACATTTTGGAAAGGAATTATGCTAGAGAAAGTAATCGCAAAACAGACAGTCTAGAGAAGCAGCCAGTCTTTTCTCTCCCACTAGAGAGGAACATTCTGTGTTGTATATGTATCCATAGCTTTACAGTGAATCTTAACACATAAGTTGAATGATTAATTTAGGTATCACTTGTTATGTAGCAACACTTTATAACAGGGCCCAATTATAACTTTGTATGTGGCAAAGGCAGCATTTTCAAGTTAAAGCATACACACTCTGATCAGTCCAGTTTAGAAATTGGCATTCCTACTTCCTTCTTCTATGACCTTCTGCAGAGTTACTTAATCTTTATGTTCATCAGAATCCTCATATCTGCAATGCAGATAACATTGCTGTCTTACAGAGTTGTTTGGAGAATTAAATGAGTTGGTATATAAAAATCACCTGCCTATAAGTCAGACACTTAAAACAGTGCCTGTAAATGATCAATACATGTTAAGTCAGATTTTCTGTAATGTAAGCAAACTTTTCTGTCTTTCCTTTTTTTGGAGAATTGAAATTGATAATCTTTCAGTGCTTCTCAAGAAGGTGTTCCTTTGTATAAATACATGCTGAAAAACCAAAAGCTTCAGTAACTATTCTAGGGGAACAAAGAAACTATCTGGCCTTACTGAAAGACAAAAAACACTATACATATATTATACTGAGCTGTTGTGTTTGTCAAATCTTTGTCAATTTCTCTTTATTCATAAACCTCCTTCTTCCCACTGAAAGATGAATTAAAAAGTCATTTCAGTGCCATTTTGAAATCATCCTAGTATAGACACGTACCTTATTTATTAATATGCCACCTACTCTCAGGAAAATCTTCCTTTGATAGATGGGTATTTGCAAGTTTCATTATCTTTCATATTTCACTTAAGGTTGCTTCATTTTTCTTCTTTCGTAGCACTTTGTTTAAATTTGCTAAAGTTTAATACTTTACTTTGGTTTAAGCTTTATTCTTTCCTTGCCACAAGATGTGGAATTTGAAAAAAAAAAAAAATAGAAAGTACCAAATAATAATCCTATCTTAATAGCTAACATTTATTGAGCATTCACTATGCACTAGGTCCCAATGCTTTATAGATAGATAGATATTCATTTAAATCTCACGTCTATGAGAGAATATAATTATTATTCCTGTTTTAGAAATGCAGAGGTAGATGATGAGAGAGAGTAATGAATTATTTCAGGGCTCTCTCAAATGATAAAAACTTTAGGAAATATAAGATAAGAAAGAGTGGTATAATTTATTTTAAAAAATCAGCTTATGCAACTGGGGGAGCTGACAAATCTGAAAGGTATAGGTCAGGCCAGCAGACAGACAGAACTTCTTCTTCCTTAAGGAAACAACAATTTTGTTCTTAGGACCTTTGAACTTATTCGATGAGGCCTACCCAGGTTATTGAAGTAATATCCTTTTCTTAAAATCAAGTGATTATAGATACTAACTACATCTATTAAATGCCTTCACAGTTATACCTAGATTAGTGTTTGGTTGATAATTTGACAGGCATACTTAGCTAGGTACACATAAAACTAGCATAGAAACTTACAGAAAATCACAATCAGAAATATGGGAGAGGACGAACTCACGTCAAAGTCTGATGACAAAATCCTGTTCCTAATCAACCAACAGCCATCGTGGTTTGCAGAGGATTAGGGTACTTCTGCCAGGTGGGCTGGACTGCCTAAGAGTGTGAGAAGAGGTTCAGATACAGGGTCCTATTGGATCACCTGCCACCCAGGTGGGAGAGAAGGGCTCCATGGACCTTGGAAATCTGAAAGTGTGCATGAACTGGGATGTGGCTACATAGGCTGCAGAGCTGTCTAGTTCCTGGCTCATTTTTCCTCTCCTCAAGCCATATCTATAGGTCAGGATATGTGACTGGTGCCCTCCTGAACATTTACAGGGAGAATCTGAGCTAGTAAATGTTAAATTCATTGCGGTGATAAATGCAGAGTGGGATGAAAACACAGGAAACACAGTCTTCTTTGTCAGTGTCTGATTCAAGGGAAAAAGGGAAATATAAATTTTACCAAAGCTTTTTTCTCATGAAATAATTCTCGAGGAGGGAAAAAAAGTCATCATCTCTGTGGGTCAGCTAGTGCACTTAATAAGAATGCCTTGCACTTCCTTATAAAACAGTTATTTTAGCAATGGGTCTATAGAAATTAAGCACAGATGTAAATCTCCATTTTGCCTTAGTCTTAGCAAATAGTGAAAAAGATCAGATTAGGAATTAGTAAATGAATGATCTTCGACTTTGTTACCAGAAACTGTGGAATTTATCCACCACTTACATTCTCTGTGCTTTGTTTTTGATCTGCCTTAAACATTTTTCCTTATCATATGACCTTGAAATTGCAAAACACTTCACATTATTTTCCTTGTTGTTTATTGTTTTTTAACAGGAAAATGAGAAAATGAGTATCATAGAACATACACAATCTCTATGGTATAGTAATATAAAAGGGGTGACAGGTCGTTATTTAAATATATATATGTATATTTATATATATGTATATAAAATGATTTATGTTCCTTTGACTAATCAAATGTAGCTCAAACTACAATCATCTTAATAACTTTTGAGAAAAATTATTTTGTCATTAAGATCTTCAAGTACTTAGTCACCGCTTATTTATGTAACTGTATCCACCCCCATCTCAGTCTTTCTAAAATAATTACATTAATAGCCACACATTTATGTAATAGTTGCCATGTTACAAATAGACTAAAGTATATTCATCAATGTCAGCAAATGAAGAAATGAACTTATCCTCCTTTCATTTTTTTTTCATTTATTTTTATTAGTTGGAGGCTAATTATATAGTGGTTTTTGCCGTACATTGACATGAATCAGCCATGGATTTACATGTGTTCCCCATCCTGAACCCCCCTTTCATTTATAGAGAAGTAAGACAAAGGCAAGTCAAATGATTGGTCTAACTTTCTTAAATAATTAAAATAACTTAAAATAATGCTTTTAGAATAATCTAAATACAAAAGGCAAATGTTTTCGGGGAGTAAAGGGAGGAGGCGATGGACAGGGAAGAAAAATGTTTGATTTAATTTGAAGGGGCAAGAGTGGTTTATTGCTGGCTACAAACTCAATCCACAAGGCCCTTTCAGTTTTCAGGTAAAACACATATCTACCTTATCTCACACAACAAAACTCATCCCTTGCGCCCTGCTTTTTGCTCTTTGTGTCCACCAGCAGGTACCATTGCCCTTCACTTAACCATGAAGTCAACTCCTGCTTCTCTGGAATGGCTTACTGGTCGACGGAATTTTAGATCGTAAATAACATTAAACTTAAATTTCCTCCATATGGAATTGAGATGAAAAGCTTTTGTAGTGGAGTGAAAGCTCTCAGATTTGTTTCAATTTTAGTTTGAAAACATTTTAGCTGCCTATTCATATTCTTTTCAAACTGTTGGCAATTATTTCCTAATTAGCTGATACATGAATATTACAGACCATTTGGCAAATAAGAAAAAAAAAATGGAATATCCTTAATCCCACTACCAGAAATGATCACTATTCAGATTGTATTGTTTATATATATATGTATTTTTTTTTTACAAAACTTGAATATACAATGCTTTGTGTCCTGCTGGTTTATTTAAAATTGTATTTTTACTGCAATCTGTTACCACATTTTTCAAATGTTTGTTTTAATGACTGCATTTTGTTCTATTATCTTTTTCTTTTCTTAAACTAAAACTGTAGTATTCATTCTGTGGCATTTTTGTATTCCTCTATCCTTTATTTGTCTCTCGTTTTTTTTTTCCTTTTTTTTTTTTTTTTTGCAATGACATTTTTGTACATTAAACCTTTATTTGCGTGTCTTAGTGTTTTCTTATGATAGATTCAAAACATTTTTTAGAAGTTGAACACCAGTTTCTACTAAATTTCTACCAAAGGAGCATAACGAATCCCATTTTTAACCTTGCCATATGGTGTAGTTTTCTTTTTTTTTTATTTTTTTAAAATTTTTTTTTATTTTTTCTTTTTGGTGTAGTTTTCTTAAATCCTTTACTTTTTAATAGAAGAGAAATCATATCTTATTGCTTTAACTGGCAGTTCTTATATTACCTAAAGGGTTTAAGATTTTTGGTGCTTATAAGCTGTATTTTTGTTATCCCATTTTTATTATCGTTTGTTTATTCTTCTATTGAGAATTAATGTTTCTTATTAGAATTGAGAAATGTCTTTATATAAACAGACATTTTATTTGTCAAAATAGCCTTCTAGTTAATCATTCACTATTTAATTTGTGTATATTTTGAAATGTAGAAGTAGCTGAATTTTTGTGGTAAAACTCTTTTTTCCTTTGAAGTCTTTTAGTCTTTTTTTCCCCTTATAATCAGCTTCCATATTCAGGAACTAGATAAATACAAATTCATATTTTCATTTAGTTTTTGTGATGAATTTTTTATATTTCACACTTTAATACCCAGAAATAATATTTTTATTTATGATATGAGGAAAGAATATAACCTGATTTCCCTCTTAACACTATATATGTGTATCCATGTTTTTGTATATGTGTACATAAATGTGTGATTTATGATGTATGCTTTACATATACATCAAAAGTACAAGTTATTTATCAAGTACAAAAATTATATATCAAAAGTACACTCTGAGGTCTGTTACAATGTGTTCTGTACACTTTTATGTTAATTTGCTTATAATTTTCTTCTTTTAGAACCACATCATTTTAATGACTGTAGCTTTCTACTTTCTTTCTAATAGTCGGTAAGAAAAATCACTCCTCCTGCTAATGATATTTTATAAATTTGTATTACTTAGGTTTGCCAGAACCCAAAAAGGATCACATCTTCCAAGGCCTGACCCAGGACCAGGGGTTTTACACTTCCAAAGACTTTCTGCCTCTTGTAGCCAAAAGCAGTAAAGCAGGTATCCCCAATTGTCTTTTGTTCCTAATGTTGCCTATGTTGTTGTATGTATTATACAATTATCTTAAATCTGGGCTCAGTAGGAAAATTTCCAGATCTCCTGTTCATCTTTTCATAATAGCAAGGTAAAATTAAAAAAAAAAAATCTGATATAATTGTTAGCCATAATCACATATTTGTCCATCCTCCTTACCGAACATCATCATGAGGATTTTTCACTGTATACAGTATATTTTTCACTATATACAGGTCTAAATTGCATTATGAAAAGTTCCTTCAAAATAAGAGTGTCTTAACAAACATCAGAAGGTGTTCTTAAAAGAAGAAACTTAACTTCACTTTGGGAACTATTTTTTGTTTGTTTGTTTTAAAATAGAGCAAGTGATCGTGTCTTCTTTGTAGCCACACAAGCAGAAAGATCCAGTCCTTCAGTCCCTTCTTGAACCAGTTTTATGAATTTAAAGTAAAACACTAAAAAAAAAATAAAGTAAAACATTGTGATGAATACCCTAATACCTAGTCTCTGTGTAATAGATCTTCACATACCACAAGAAGACCAACCAGAAGCTCTGCTTGTCTCCTGCTGTGACTGGGCTAGAGTCATCATCTTAGTGAGGAAGAAACTACAGGGCATTCTCTAAAAGCCAATAGCCAAACTCCTTAAATATATACTTTTAAAGAATTCTGAACTTAAGCTGTTCTAACATATAATTACCTACTGAAAAAATAAGAACTTATATTTATTCTCCTAAAATTGAGAAATGTAAGAAACTGCCTCTCTTAGATCAATCTGCAGAATTTTACAGCTAAAGTTGTGTACTATCTTCATCTTTTTTTCCCAAGAGAACATGATGCTTGCTTGGGAAGCAAGAATATCATAGTACACATAGTACGTATTTGAGAGTTACAGAGGGCTAATTATGTAACCCCAAACAAAAAGTTTCAAGCAAAATGATAACACTAAGTTATATGTGGTACCATTTCAAAAATTATAGTAATTTATCTTGTCAGCAATTTTATTTAATCCAGTAACACAATGCTACCTATTATATAGCAAACACCTGCTTTTACTTTTTTAAAGAATCTTCATGTGGACATCAAATCTTTATATAAATGCTGTTGAAAAATGCTCACTTGGAGATTAATATTTTTTAATTGTTCAATTTTATAAACAATACCAGGGAAAAGCAAAAAAAATAAAAAAACAAAAGGGATAAAGTTTTGTTTTAACTATTTGAAGGAAATAATTCTTAGAAATTCTTTAGTTACATAAAGGGAACATACTAAGCATGTTAATTTTCAAAATTTACCAAATATACAGCAGGGTACACATTAGAAATAAAATGTTGTAATGAAATACTGCAGACTATTAACCCAGATCACAAGGATCACTCTTTTCCTTCTAACAAACAACTTAATGACAGTAAGTTAAAAATACACATCACAACTTTGACAAAGAGAGTTTTGATTGGTTGATTCCAGCTTCTTAAGACCCAAACTCTTCAAAATGTGTTATAGATATCCTTCTAGAAAGAAAAGAAAAAAAAAACCAGAAGTTAAAGGTATTGACTATGAAATTACATATATGAGCATATTTTTAAAGTGGGAATAAAACTGTCTTTCAATGAAGCAGAATAATTTGATAGTGACACTCCATCCTGGAAAACTGCAAGATGCAATTTTACACTGCTTTGAGTACAAGTATCTTTTGAGCTGTCATGCAGAAATGGTTTCTCTACTTGAAAATGGGGTTTCCTTTCATCATTCAGGAATGTGCGCCTGTCACTCTCCATTGCTGTCGATACGGGGAGCCGTGATTGTGCTCGGAGCTGGAGACACAGCTTTCGACTGTGCAACATCCGCTTTACGTTGTGGAGCCCGCCGAGTGTTCATCGTCTTCAGAAAAGGCTTTGTTAATATAAGAGCCGTCCCTGAGGAGGTAAAAAAAAAAAAAAAAACGTCAGAAAATGTGGAGTTGTAATGGAACAGATTTTAGAAGATGTAACTGTTAATGTGCAGGCTCTTAGTTTAAATCACTAGAATGTTCTTCAGATTGTGAAATGCAAATTTTAAAATTTCTGTGTTACCCATAGTTGCTATTTTTTAGTACAGACATTCAAAGGAAAAGAAAATTATTTTATAACACTGATTTGGAGAAAATGAATTTATCTTTGTCATTTCACAAGTGTTTCTTAGTCTGTGTTAGTATCATTGAAAGATGTTGTATTTAACTAGTAACAGTGGAATGTGCTAAGTCTTCCATATCCTAACAATAGGTACTCTTCCCAAAATACATGGCTATTAGGAGAATGTGGTAATTAGAGACATTCGAAATTTTCTGTAAACCAAATTTACAAGCTACATTCAAAGATATATATTACATATATATATATATATATACACACATATATATATATATAAAACTGCAAGGGGATTGGTGTTTATTTTTTAAAAGAGCTCTAATGTAAGGATTATTTAGAACTAATAATTAGTTAACTACTAAAAATGACAGATTTAAAATCATATCATTCTTACAGGTGACCGGTGACTAATCTTGATTGAGACAGCAGCTGGGTACATGTACCATGGAGTTCTCAAATTCTAATGTTAAGAAAGATAATACCTTATAAAGGATATTAGTTCTGAGAACAGGAACCAAATGTATTTATAGAGAGATAAATTACTCATTTTATACAAATCAGTATTATGAATTTGATTTGTTTTAGAATTCCTGAACATATTTGGAGTCTTTATACTAGGCAAGAATTATGACTGCAGTCAATAGGTAATTTGTCACGTGTAGGCTAACTACATTACAGATTAATCTCACTGAAATATCAGAGTCACCATTGGTTCATGACTGAGTTTAAAATGTCAACTTTATTCTCCAGGTTTTTTCTCCATCCACTCTTTTTCAGACTTTCCCCTCCAAATCCAAGGTGGAGATAGTCTTGTAATCCTAGGAGTTTTTTCTGGAGCACTATTTTAGGCATGAATTAGTGCAATGAGGGAGACCTGGGTTCGATCCCTGTGTTGGGAAGATCCGAAGAAGGGAAAGCCTACCCACTCTAGTATTCTGGCCTGGAGAATTCCAAAGGGGTCGAAAAGAGTTGGACACGACTGAGCAAAAAAGAAAAAAAAAAGTGCAATCTTATATTGGTACAAATACAGGGAAAATAGTCATACTGGAGTAAAGTGACTTGCTTAAGAGAAGACAGGAGCTAATGTTATTCATCTTTATATCATCATGTATAGCATAGGACCTCAGCCAATAATAAATACTTGAACAATTTTGAACTAAGTATTTTACATCTTATTTTTCTTGAAATTTGGAAGGGAAGACACCTCTGAATGGCAGTGTCAGTTTACTTCATACTCTATATTATAGTCATCTTCCATTGGGAAGGGTCACTAGAGATGAGTGGTGACTATTTCTTCTACATAAATAGAAAACACACACACACACACAAACACAATGAGACCAGATAATTAATTACTTGAGAGGGTAGAAGTTTTGTTTGCTTGTTTTATAATAATACAATAAACAACTTAAAGTTTATTGAGCATCCTTTGTGTATCAAGCACTGTTTTAGGCAATTGGAATATAGCAGTGAACATATCAGATAGAAAATCTTGTCCTCATGGAGCTCATACCTAGTAAGGAAAGATACTCAAGCAAGCAAGTAGATTGTCATATAAGTGTATGTTGAACAGTGGTTAATGCAATGCAGAACAAATTTTTAAATAGGACTATAAGAAGTGTGAATTTGGGGAGAGGTTATGGTGAAAGAGAAGGTGAGATTTCCATTTTAAACAGGGTGACCAAGGAAAGCCTTTCTATTACTATGACTTTGGGGCATAGAGATGAAGACATTGAGGAAATGTAGACATCTGGGAGAAAAATGTTCCAGATCAAGGCAAATGCATTCACCCTTGATTGAAGTTTCTTGGACTTCTAGAAACAGAAACAAAAAAAAAAGTCAGTGTGACTGGAACCGAGTATAAGAGGATAATATGTGCCTATATGTGATGAGATCTTTTAAGTGTTCCAAAGGCCAGTATTTACTGAGGAAGAGGAAATTCTTGAACTGTTTTGAGCAGACAAACACCAGGATCTGAGTTAAATTTTAAAAAGATGGCTCTGTTGATAATTGACTAAGGGGGGGATTGGGTTAGATGCGGGGAGGCTATTCGGGGGCTGATTGTAAGAGTAGGCTATTAGATGCTTCCCAGGTGGCTCAGTGGAAAAGAATCTGCCCGCAGTGCAGGATATACAGGTATGACCCCAGGGTCAGGAAGATTCCCTGAAGAAGGAAATGGCAGCCCACTCCATATTCTTGCCTAGGACATGCCATGGACAGAGGAGCCTGGTGGGAACATGAAGTCACAAAAGAGTCAGGCATGATTTAGCGACTAAACAACAAGGCTATTAGTTGCTGTGACTGATTTATAGGAAGGAAAGGATCAAATTCCAGGCATTGCTCAGTCAGAAGGTCAAGCCTTGGTGGGATGAACTATGGTCATCAAAGTATTGGGAGGAAGCAATGGGTTGGTGGGATAGCTTGTGTTATTGCCTGCAGTAGAACTTAGTAGACTCAACCAGGTCTGGGGCTTAATTAAAACTAGAAGAACAAATGTTTGGATGTTTATTATTAGTTTACAAGAAATGAAAATATTTACATTGTCTTAAAACCCCTGGGCCGTGAGCTCTATGAGAATGATGCTTTGTCCTCATTTTTTTCTTCCCCTGCCTAGCCCAATGAATGTCACTTGAAAAATGTTCAATAAATAATTGTAGAATGAATGTTTTCTGGAGAAACTAAGCATCCAGGGCTTCTAGCATTAAAAAGGCTAACACTTACCAAGTTAGCTTAGTTGTAACAGCAGAAGGCATTTGGAGTTTCTTTTGTGAATTCTAGGCAAAAGTTTTCAGCATTAGAGAAGGAATAATACAGCAACAGGAGGTACATGGATTTTAGGGTTGGATCACTGGCCCATGATTATGCATTTTTCAGACTGAGGACTTTTAGTATTTGTAGAGATGGCAAGATATTTGATTTTGCATACATCAAAGAGGCCCAGGACATGGTAGTGCTAATGCTTATGAAACTGCTAAGTCAATATCATGTATCTACTTTAAGATAACAGATTTTAAGAGAATATCCTGAGAAAAGATTTTAACCTATATGAAGGATTTAATACCAAATCTAATTTCTTTGTATTTCTTCTATTTCTCATATGCTTTCTACCCCAAATATACATAAATTGCAGTCACACTTGGTTTCTATGAAGTCAAGGAAGATTGACATTTAGAGCTTTTCTCAGATATGTATATTGTTTATTGGGCTTTGACTCTTGGATGGAATTTGAAAATAACATAATTTGTCTGTTGGTAAAAGGCCTTACTGTGAGGCATGTCAGCATGTATATATCCAAAGCTATGGTCTAATCCTCAAGTGATTTTTGAAAGAGGAGGGAACTAGAGAACAAAATAAAGTTTTCTGACCATTTAGTGGCAAATATAAATTACTACATAGGCCAGTTAGATTTAAAAGGAATTTTTACATGGTTAATAACAAAGAACCATATAATTAGATCCAGAAATGTTTTAATCTACTAAGAAACACTACCCAATAGACACTGCAGTGACAAGCACATCCCAGTTAACTAATCAGAGGTTTTCATACTTTAGTGTGCATCAAAATAACCTGGAGGGGCTTATTCAACATAGCTTACTGGGGCCCCGTCCCAGTTTCTGATTTGGTAGGTGTGGGGTGGGCCTGAGAATTTGCATTTTTAACAAGTTCCCTGGTGACGCTGAGGCTGCTGATCCACTGCTCTAATGGATCATCAATCTAGTTTCCCGCTGTCTAATTAGAGCCATAAGCAGTGTGCTGTTTTGGGGCATTTTCCATCTTAGTTAAGGAAGCATTAATGCTACAGAATATACGGTTTGATGAAACGAAGATGTGGAGACATCATCAGCATATTGATGTAATTCTGATTCCAAATGTCTTCCAGTCTCCCCTGTGGCCTCACACACATGCTAAATAGGATGCTACTGACAAACTAGCACTTCGCAGCCAAGGGTCCTTAGGGAAACCAGCCAATCATTCAGCACTATCCCTCTAAGAAGATGAGGGAAAATCTGTTAATAATTCCCTCCAGAACTTTCTGCAAGCTTAAATAGGTGAGATTAAATTTCACAGGATAACAGAATCCCCCAAAATGCTGGTATTAAAAGCTGTTGACAGATCAGATAGAACTGCAGAAATGCTTTAGGCAGTTGGGAATCCCTAAAAGGAGGCATGAAGGTCAGGACTCAACAGACCCACTTGAGTTGATAAAGTTAATGGATAAGGTTGGGGAAGGACTTTGTAGTTCATATTAATTATTACTGAGAAGAATGCAGTACAAAATTATTTTAATAGCACAGTCCCACACACAGAGAATATACCAAGAAACATATTTGGTTTCCCAATAGCAGCAAAACACAATAGATCTTTGATTCCGTTTTAATTTTTGGCTGCACTGTTTTGTTGCTGTAATGTGGGCTTTCTCTAGTCCTGGCAAGCTGGGCAACCTCTCCTGTTGAGGTGCAGAGGCTTCCCATTGTGGTGGCTTCTCTTGTGAAGCATGGACTCTCGGGAGTGTGGGTTCAGTAGCTGTCATGCATGGGTTTAGTATCCTGCGGCCTGTGGGATCTTTCTGGACCAGGGATTGAACTTGTGTCCCTTGCATTGGCATGCACATTCTTTACCAGTGGTCCCCCAGTGAAGTCCTCTGTGATTTTTTTTTAAAAATATTTTATATTATTTTTAATTGGAGTATAATTGCAGTATTGTGATGGTTTCTGCCATATATCAGTAGGAATCATCCATAGGCATACCCATGCCCACTTGCTCGTAAACCTCCCTCCCACCTGCCTCCCCCTGCCAC